CGTGTGATCTAGGCAGCTTTGTCTACTTATGGAGCCTGCCCTGATTTATCGAGCGTTGTGCGTATTACTTCTTAGAGAACAAAATGTCACCTTTATACAAGTGAGTTGTTGAATCTTCTTCTGTGACATGATGATCAGAATTTCTTATTGAGTTTCAGGATGTTGTGTCAATGTTGCATGGGGTATTGTTGACTGCGACAGAGCTATTTATTCTCCGCGATCAGCTAAGAACGCTCGAAGGCAAGGTTGGGGGTGATTCTTATTTTCCAGAGTTCGGAAGAACAAGCATTCTATTTAGGACTCGATCTCTTTATTCGAATGCGTGTTTCGTTGTTGGTGCTATCGACCAATTGCTCTGCTTGGCTTATGTCTTTTGTCGCAGAATTATGCACAAGCCGCTGAAATTGCGTTAATGTTGTCCCAGGTTTGTCGTGTTGTGCACTCTATATTCAGTGGCTTTATCGATTTCTTTGAAATGTGTTTGCTTTTGCAATCTCAAATCACTTATAATGAGCATCACTCATGACACAAATCAATTTTGAATCCGTTTCTACGTTCTTCCCCAAGTTTTAATCTCAATTTGCTGTTACAGGTGGATATGACATTGGATGTTCTTGTAGAAATCGACAAATTGGTCAATATGATAGAAAGCCCTATCCTTGCATGTAAGTTTCGCTAGCTAACCGCAGACTAATTCTGAAAATTGATCCTTCGAAATCCTCTGTCATCATTTATTTTGCTGCTTATGTATATGGATGCTTTGGTCACTTGCGAAGTTTGATAGCTGAGATTTCGAGGTAATGTTATAGAGCTACGGCTTGTTTCCAGATGTCAGAATGGACTTACTTTCTGCCTGTCATCAGCGATCTCTATCGACAGTATTATCAGCTTTGTTGATGCTCATGCCACAGTCTGATGCATTCCACACATTGCACAAAAGGCTGCAAGCCGTACCAGCTCTTACAGTTGTAGGGTCAGTTCTGTTTTGGCATCTTCACCAAACTCAATCACTAAATATTTTTGACACTACATGGTATCCAAAGAATGTGGAATT